CTTCCTTCCTCCCTCCCTCCCTTTCTTCCTTCTTTGCTCTACCACTGAGCTACAGCTTTAGCTCATTTGAACCATCACTTTTTAAAAATTTTTGAGGCAGGGTCTATATTAAGTTTCTCAGGTGGGACTTGAACTTGCCAATGTTTTTTTTTTTCTTCCATCATTCTTGTCTATTTTATTTATTTATTTATTTTAGGTCAAATTTGCAGTGGCCTCATACAAGTAGGAAGCTTTCACTTTTTATTTTTATTTTTCTGAAACATTTTTAGAAAACCATATGTTTCTGGTGCTTAGTATTTTGGGAAAAATTGTCTCTAAATTTGCTTGGTGTCTTTGGTGGGTGGAATAATGGAGGCTAACTTGTGAAATGATTAAGCGTACTTGCTAGTGTCGTTACTGTTTTAGTTTAAACATAAAATCTAAAAATTTTATCCATTTTCTTCTGTTTTCAGGGCTGTTGGCAGTAGTTACAGAAATGTCTTAGTATTTAAATATTTTTAAAACTATAATTGAGTAGATGTCTCCTTTTACTTCCTTGTAATACGTATTTGTAGTTTTATTTCCCTTTGAGCAGTCTAACTAGTAGCTTAAAATTTTTTAATATTTTGTTTTATTTATCTAGGTTTTTTTTTTTTTGAGACAGGGTCTCACTATGTCGTTGAAACTGATCTGGACCTCACTAGTAGCCCAGGCTGGTCTCAAAATCGTAGTGACCCTCCTGCCTCAGCCTCCCGAGTGTTGGGATTATGGGCATGCACTACCATGCCTATCTTTATTTTATTTTTATTTTTTGGTATCAGGGATCAAACTTGGGTCCTTGTGCTTGCAAGGCAGGTTGTGGAACCACTGAGCTAAATCCCTGGCCCTTAATATTTTGCTTTAAAAGAACCAGTTTTTGGTTTTCTATTTGGATACAATATGTTTTGTTTTGTTTTTTGTGGCAAGGTATTGCTATGAAGCTCAGCCTGGCTTTGAACTTACTAGGTAGCCCAGGCTGGCTTCGAACTTGCAGTGATCCTCCTGCTTCAGCCTCCTGAGTATTGGGTTTACAGGTGTGCGCCACCACAGCTGGCTGGATAGGATATGAATTTAACTGTTGTAACAGGAACCTAAACTTATTAATGACTTAAACCATGCATTTACTTGTTATGGATTAAATTGTCTGCCCAAAATTTGTATGTGGAAGTTCCAGTCCCCAGTCGCTCAGAATGTGACTGTTCTTGGAGATAATGCTTTTAAAGAGGTGTTAGGTTCAAGTGAGGCTATGAGAGTGGCTCTGATACCATATGAGTGGTGTTTCATAAGAAGAGGAAAACTGGTGTAGTGGGGCAAGCCCTTAATCCCAGCACTCAGGAGGCTGAGGCAGGAGGATCACTAGTTAAAATCATCTATCTTTTGTTTTGCTCTTTAAACTATTTATACTTTGGGTTTCTCATATAAAAGAAATCATGCAATGTATAATCTGTGTCTGATTCATTTGACTTAGCTCTGTGGTCCCAAGGTGCATCCCTTTTCCTACAGATGACTCAACTTATCCTTCTTTGTGGAAGAGTAGTACTCCACTGTATATAAATGCTGCATTTTCTTTATCCATTCATCAGTTCGTGGACACACAGGCTGCTTCTAAGCTTTGGCCATTGTGAACTGTGCTGCTATAAACATGGGTGTGCATGGATCACTGTGTTATGAGGTCTTTAACTCTTTTGGGAAGAAGAGGTATCACTGGGTCAAATGTAATTTTTATTTTTAGTTTTTTCAGCAATCTCCATACCAATTTCCACAGTGAGTACTAGTTTACATTCCCACCAGCAGTAGGCATGCACTTTTGTCCTCTCTCTCTCTCCCTTCCTTTCCTTTCCTTCCTTCCTTCCTTTCTCTTCTCTTTTCTTTTCTTTGTTGATTCATAGTCTCATTATGCAGTTCAGTTCAGGGTGACCTCGAACTAACTCACTGTGTAGCCCAGGCTGTCCTTGAACTCTTGGCGATCCTCCCGCCTCAGCCTCCCGAGTGTTGGGATCACAGGTGTGCACCACCACACCTGGCAACAATTTCATTTTAAAGGCAGCGATTGCAAGCAGTGGTGTGTTCACTTCTGTGTGTCACATCTGGCTGGGTGGCCATGGACCACCTCCAAGCTGCAGTGACCCCAGGCCAGTCCCCCACTGAGCTGTATCTCCAGCCCTCTGTGATACATTTTAATTGAATTTAAAGTTTTGGCAGTACTGGAGGTTAAATAGCACGTGGAAACGAATGACATTATTCATTTGTTGGGTGGAACATTCCTATATATGATAGTATTTATGAGTTGTGCTGCTCACATGATACATATTGTTTTTTTGCGTTTTTTGGTACCGGGGATTGAACTCCAGTCCTTGTGCTTGGGAGGCAGGCAGCAGAACCACTGAGCTAAATCCCCGGCACATGATATATATTGTGATTTAAAATACATTTGAACTTACTATGTCATTTCCTTATATGTTTTTCATTAACCTTGTTTTCTTTCCTCCTTTTTCTCTTCTCTGTCTTCTCCTGTTGGCTATATATGTTCTACACAGGTTTTGAAATATATGCAACCTTTGCTGGCTTGGAAGTTTTGGACTGTATCTCAATTTTGGTGGCACATTTAATTTTCAATCACTTTAAAAGATGTATGTATTTATTTTTTTCTGTCAGGGATCAAGCCTAGGCCCTCATGATACTATGCAAATTTTCTACCATCCCCAGCACTAAGATTCCTTCTTTGTCCTTGATCCTATGCGAATCAATGATAGAGCCTTATATATTAATAATGATATATAATACTTGATATCAATAAGTATATTAATCCATGCTGTCTGATCATGGAGTATATTTTTGATCGGAGGACCTATAACTCTCAAGTTCTTGAAAAATCCCTTGATTTCCCTAGTACCTATGGTTTCTGGGGCGTTTCCTCCTTTCTCTTTCCGGAAGTTTTATTAGGTACAAGTTGGGAGAGGGGCCAGTATGGTGGCAGTGGGGACGGAGCACAAGGTTGGCGGGCGACACATTCAGAGCACAGCCTGCGATGCTGGATGCGGTGACCCTTAATCACGATAGGGCAGCTGGAATGGATTAGGAAAGCCCGGCAGGTTAGTAGAGCCCAGTTCTGGGCGTGTCTGAGAATGACTGAGGTGGGGGCCAGCCGGGTGGCACCAACCAATAGGCTTGAAGCCTGGACGGAATAGAAAGGGAAAGCAGAAGGAAGTCTTTCTGCTTTTATAGAGCTCTAGTTCTTGAGTGGGTCCATCCTTTGCTTTCATCGCCTCTGGACATCCGTCTTCCGGAACCCAGTTTCTTCAGCCTTGTGACACAGATGCCGGTGGCCCTTCAGGGAGCTTCAGGGTCTTGGACCTTGGACTGGTGCTGTGTCCTTGGTCCCTCTTGCTCTGGAGCTCCCCGCTTCTTGGGTGGAGATCCTCCGGCTCTCCAGTAGGGGGCGGCCACTGTGCAATTCCCGCTTCTAGTCAGGTAAGTGACCTAATAAATCCGCCTGTATAGTTACACATGTTTTCTATTGATTCTGTCCCTCTAGAGCAGCTGACTAATACAGGACGACATAGAGCAGGATGCTGGTGGCGAGAGTCCTGGGCTCAGCTGCTACTAAGAGGAAAGGAGGTGTGGGTGCAGGTCTTTGTCACACCTGTCCTTCTCTAGGTGAGACCCTCTGCCCAGAATCCACTAACCTGGGCCACCGCAGGTGGACTCCTGGGGATGGCCCAGCCCCGGCCTCTCTGGCCTGCGCTGTGTACTGAGTTGACTGTTCTTGGCTTTTGCTCCAGCATTGATTTACGCTGAGCCCTGGCACAGCTGCCTAGGTCTGGCCGGACCCTCTCCAGGGCTGGATCATGATTGTATTTCCTCAGGTCCTACTCTCACCTGGTCAGGCTGCCCAAGGCAGAATCCCAACAGCTTTGTCCCTAGAGGCTGCTGCTGGGCTGCGGGCCCCTCCCACCCTAGTTACTCAACTTCCCCCTCACTGGGACAGAACACCTGGGAATTACAAAGAAGTGTGTTTTGGCTTATGGTTTCAGGGGTTTCAGTCCATGGTCAGCTGGTTCCATGGCTTTGCATCTGCCATGAGGTAGAAACCTCGTGGTGGAAGGGCCTCGGAGAGGGAAGCTGCTCACCTCATGGCAGCCAGGAAACAGAGAGAGAGGGAGAGAGGGAGAGAGAGAGAGAGAGAGAGAGAGATAGAGATTACAAAGAAGTGTGTTTTGGCTTATGGTTTCAGGGGTTTCAGTCCATGGTCAGCTGGTTCCATGGCTTTGCATCTGCCATGAGGTAGAAACCTCGTGGTGGAAGGGCCTCGGAGAGGGAAGCTGCTCACCTCATGGCAGCCAGGAAACAGAGAGAGAGGGAGAGAGGGAGAGAGAGAGAGAGAGAGAGAGAGATAGAGAGAATGGACTCACCCCCACCCCTGCATCACCCTGCCCTGGGTAGGGAGCCCCATAGTCCTCAGCTTGCTCTTCTTTCCTCCTGCCTACTTTGGGGTCCCTCCTAGGACTCACATGCAAAGCACTCCAGACACTTGGGGGAGGAGTGGGGGAGACAGACAGGGACAGCACGGCAGGCAGTCAACAAAGGGCTGTCACCCGGCCAGCTGCCACTGAGACTTAAACTGTTGGGCACCTCTGGGAGATGGTGTAGACTGCAGAGTCCCAGGGTGGGCCCAACTGTGGGTAAGGTTTGCAGGTATGTATGGGCCAGTTGTCATGGTCAATGGCTCAGGATGGCCCCTGGGTGGCCTTGATTCCTCTCACTTGCTCCTGGGCTGCCCTGAGCTCTGAGAGGGCTGGAAGGCTGGAGAAAAGCCCTCAGATGACAGCTGTGGATGCTTCTGCAAGGATGTCAGGCCCAACCCAGGAATGGCAGCCTCAGCCTAACCCGGAAGTCTGGGCTCCTATTTCATCATTCGCACAGCAGGAACTGCCCAGGGACCCAACCCTGCCAGAACAGGACCAGGGGCCTCCTGGAGCTGAGCAGGGGCTGGGAAGTAAGGCCTAGGAAGCTGGCGGGATCTGCCTTGGCTTTGCCTCTACTCCCTCCCCCAGCTCTGGCCACTCGCTCCTGCTGATGTGACATTCTAGTTCTAAAAACAGACCTGTAACACCTCAGGCAGATTTGCAGCCCCTTGACAGAGTGTCTGGCACATAGAGGGCCTCTGCCTCCTTGCAGGGCTTCCTGGGGCCCAGAACAGGTGAGGGCCAGTCCCAAAGTGCTGCGGTGCAGCCCCATTGCCCAGCCCCCCACCCCCACCTTCGCCCCTGCACAAGCCGGGTTCCTGGGCCACAGCTCGGGTTGTCTATAGTGGTGATGACAGGCTGCTGACACCTGCAAGCCATGTGTGTGCCCTGGGGGGACCAGTTCATTCTTCACCCCTCCAGCCCAGTGGCTATTCTGGGTGACAGCCCAGGGCCTCCTCCCACCAAGGTTGGGGGCTTGTTTGGAGCAGGGTGGCTCTTCCACCAGGGATCCAGGTGTCCATGGAAGCCAGGTGCACTCCTTGCTCTCTTCCCTCCAGGAGGGTGCTGCCCCTGGCCTGTCACACACCCGCCACAAAGCCTGGCAGGCAGCCAGGGATGGCTGGGTGGCTCCAGCAGGGCCCAGGTGTTTCTATGCTAGGGTCCCCAGTGCCCGTCACCCTGGCCATTCTGTTATCCTAGAGCTCCTCAGTCCTTCACAGCCAGGGCCACCAAGGCCTCCTCTCGGGGTGCCAGGGCCATCCTGGCAGGGGTAGAGCCTGGGGCAGTTGCCTTGTGCTTCCAGCAGCTGGTGCTGGCACTGGTCTCTCGGCCTCAGGCCAGGCACAGTGGGCATGGACAGCCCTGGGCCCTGTGGCCTACCTGTGTGAGGGTCCCCCTTCCCTTGTCCAGTATCCTGAGTCCTGTGGTGTAGCTCTTGCCTCAGTTGATGCCCACTGGTCTCAGGAGGTTGGCTGCATCTCTGATATTCTTTCCAACTCCTGCCAGCCCCTGACCCGGGAACTGTCTCTTCCCCTGGCTGCTTGCTGGGGGTATCAGTGCTGAAAACTCATATTCCTTTGCTTTTTAAGAAAATTTTTGTGTTTTTTTGGGACAGGATCTCACTACATACCCCAGGCTGGCTTTGAACTTGCGGTGAGCCTCCTGCTTCAGCCTCCCGATTGCTGGGATTACAGGTGCCAGTGATGCAAACCTATGAAATCAGGAGCCAGAGTAGATCTTTCCTCTTTGATTGTTTCAAGTATCTTGTCATACTAATGGAAAGCTGACTAAAACATCCCAGCTCCAAATATTGCAGTGGGAGTTAGGATTGGAACATGTGTACTTTAGGGAGACACAAGGATTCGGTCTACACCATTGAAAAATGGAATTTAAATTCTATTTAATTTTAATTTTCTCTGTCTCTCTCACTTCTGTGGCACTGGGGATTGAACCCAGGGCCTTTGCACTGAGCTACAACCTCAGCCTTCTTTTGAACTTCTTATTTTTGAGACAGGGTGTCACTAAGTCACTAAGTTGCCAGGCTGAGCTCCAACTTGTGATCTTCCTAGAGTGCTGGGATGGCCGCATTGATGTGAATGTGAGCAGCTGCATGGGGCTAGGATGATGCAGGCTTAGAGAGTGACGCTGGCCTCATGCATACAATAAACCAGTGTCGACTGAGCTCCAGCCGTGTGCTGCCTGCGTAGAGGCTGGGACTGTGGCCATGGACCACGCTGGCAAGAGCTTGCTCCCATGGAGATGGAAAAAGTTGAATTCATGAATAAGGTAACTGCAGAGAGCGGTAAGAGATGTGGAGGACAAAAGACCCAGAGACAAGCTGTCTTCAGTGATGGGGTGAATAGTGCAGCCTGAGAGGGAAGGGGAGGCTTCCATGGGAGGTGACACAGTGGAGGGACAAGGAGGAGACAGACAGACCTGGCCAAAAGTGTCCCAAGGAGTGGGACCAACACCGGGACAGGCCAGTGCGGCATTGCACCTGCTGGTATATTTCAGATCCCTACTTCCATTACTGCAAAGACAAGAAATGGCTCCCTTTATCTCCAAAACTTTCCAGTATTTCTAAAGTTCCTGACCCATGCAGAGAAATTCCTTTCTGTCCACTTCAGTAGATTTTGTTATATTGTTTTCCCTCCGGGTGGAACACATCTGTTCATTAAGTTTTGTATATTGGAGGCTTTGCCCTCAGATTAGTTTATTATGTGCCACGGGAGAGTGAGGCCCAGAAGCTTCAGAGAAAGACATATATTGTTGTCTCCTTTGCCCCTTTCTCTCCCGCTTCCCTCCTCCCCACTCTCCCTCAGACTCAGCCTCCCAGAGTGCTGGGATTGCAGGCATGCACCATCACGCCCAGCTGTATTTCTGGTTTTTGAGGTTAGAAGCCCGAGATTGAGGTGTTGGCAGGTCGATTTCTCCAGACTCCTCTATCCTGGGGTTGTTGATGGTTGGCTCTCCCCTGTGCCGGCACACGCTCCTCCTGGTCCATCTGCCTGGGTCCACATCTCCCTCTTGTAGTTTTGCACCAGTCGTACTGGATTCGAGTGTGCCCTAATGACCTTATTTTCACTTAATTACCTCTGCAACAGCCTTATCACCAAATATGGTCGCATTTCAGGATACCAGAGTTTAGGACTTCAAGATACCAATTTTGGGGCGATGTAATTCAGCTCACAACAGCCTCAAACAAATGGGTTTTTAATGTACATCTCTAAAAGTGAGTTCAGTGGCGTGGAACTTCAGCTGCTCGATCTTACAGCTTTCAACACTTCTGCGAGGTAACGTCTTCCTTAAAGCACTTTACAGCTGCAGATGGTATTCTCAGGGATCAAACTCAGGTCTTTGCACTTGCAAGGCAGGCGGAGGAACGACTGAGCGAGCTAAATCCCCGGCCCAATGCAGATGGTATTCTGCAGGCAGGAGAGGTTGTCATTTCAGCGAGTCACAGGGATAAATTCCTTTTGGCTTTCCCTGCTGCTTGCTAGCTAGCACTTAAGTCAGGTAAAAAGTACTCTTCACCCAAATTCTTCCTGCAGACACTGGCTCCTTGCTTTTGAGAGCCTCTTTATCTCCTTGGACAGTTTGCAGAGAAAGACCTGGCAGGAAACAGGCTGATGATGCCCAGCCATCGCAGCACCTACGAGCTATTGAATTTGGCAAAGGCGGATTTTAGCATTTCCGAGTCAGGATGACTTGTTTATTTATTTATATCATGGTTTAAAAAACCCCATGTAACACCTTTTCCCTTTTTCCCTTTTCACGGTGCTGGCGATGGAACTCCTTGATAAAGCAAGCACTAACCACTGAGCTACGACTCCCGCTCATAGTAAGTGCACAGTACAGTATTGTTAACTGTATACCCATTGTTATACAGCTGGCTAGAACTTTGTATTTTCTTTTTCAGTACTGGGGCTTGAACCCAGGGCTTTCACACCGAGCTATATCTCGGGCCCTTTTTACTTTACTTATTTATTTTTATTTTTAAAATTTTGAGATAGGGTCTCATTAAATTGCTAAGTTGTCCAGGCTGGGCTTGAAGTTGCAACCCTTCTGCCTCAGCCTCGCAGAGTGCTGGAATGTCTGGTGTGCACCACCACACCCAGCTAAGGGTTTTATTTTTAATGTGATGGTTTAAACTGCAAGGGGATCCTTGAAGCACCACTCAAGGAGAAACTGTGGTGGCAGACTTAGCTCTTCTAAATATGTGGAACTTATTCTTTTTTTTTTTTCCTTTCAATTTTTATGTTTCATTAGTACATGTTTGCAGTACATCATGATTACCTTCCTTATGGGGATCTGAAACTTACTCTTCTTGGATTTTCTGTAATCTCACTTTTTTGTTTTCGTTTTTGTTTCTTGCTTTATGCAGAAAGGAAAGATATGCATGTTGACCAATGCGTGTACAAATTCACATAGATACAGAGACTTGGAAAAGGGAGAAAACTGGACTCCTGTCTGTAGCCACACTGCCAGCAAGGGCTCTGGGGAGTGGACAGTTGTCTCCTTCCCCATAGACTGTGGACCTTTTGCATTTATTGAAAAAGGAAGGAATTAAAAAAAAAAAGACTTGGGAGCCAGGCATAGTGGCACATACCTGTAATACTAGCACTTGGATGGCTGAGGCAGGAAGATCAAAAGTTCAAGGCCTGTTATGGCTACGTGATGAGTTCAAGTCTGGCCTGGACTATATGGTCCTGTCTCCAAAAAAAAAAAAATGTATATGTGTGTGTGTGCGTTCGTGTGTGTGTGTGTGTGTGTGTGTGTGTGTGAGAGAGAGAGAAAAAGAGAGAGGGTGCGGAGGTGTGGGGAGAGAAAGACAAAGAGAGATCTGGTTGCTTCTCCCTTTCCAAATAAATAAAATGGGAGTCAGGGTATAAAGAGAGAAGAAACAGGCTCGTGAGTACCAGGTGTCGAAATATAAGACAAAAGGACACACACCCCAGTTCCTGGGGCCCAGACAGAATTCAAAAGGCTATTATGGAAGGAAGATTGCCCCCCACCAATGTTTTATGGATCTCCCCCTCTTTTCCCTCCTTGTTATCTCTGTCTTCTTTTCCTTCATTTTTGCCTCCTTTTTAGGGCCCTCTGGGTTGCTTTGACCAGTTCCCCCACCCCTGGTCTTGGTTATTATTACTGTGTAATAAGTCACCCTCACACCTACCAGCTTAAGACAGTGCTCTCATTTTGCTCACTGGTTTGCAGATGAGGAGTTGGGAGAGGGCCCAGCTGGGTAGCTCTGGTTTGGGGTCTCCTCCAGGGCTGAGGTTGAGGCTGACTGGGAATGTGGTCATGTGAAGGCTCAAGTGCTCTGGCTTTCCAAGATGGCACACCCCTTGGCTAAGACACTAACCTGTGGACTCTCCAGTGTGCTGGGTATCTGCAGTTGGTTTCTAGTTTCCCTACAGTGGTTATTCCAGGAAAGCCAGGAAGAAGCTGCATGGCTTTTTCAGACTGAACCTTGGAAAGTCTGTTCCAGGAGTCCCTTCTCCAAACTCAATTGGGCACAAACAACCACGTGCCTGCTGAGACTCAAGAGGAGTGTTGAGTCCATTTCTTGGACTCAAGAAGTCTAGGTTCCATTTCTTGAAGGGAGAGCATCAGGGTTGTGAGATGGGTGGGATCACTGGGGCTCCCTTTGGGAAAAAAAATCTGTTACAGCTTCCATAAAATCAGTTCTGTGGAGGCTTTAGCTGGTGTTGTCTCTGGTGGCCTGTCTTGACTCTTGCACCTGCTTCACTGGGGTCAGGGCACCAGGAAAAGCAGCTTCCTGCTTCAGCCTCTGATTGGAAGTCTGGCCAAGTCCTCCCCAAATTTCCATCAACTGCAGCTGACTTTGAGGATGGCTCACCATTTTTTGTCAGATGAAATCCCGTGCAGGCAACTCTATCAGGTGTAATCAAAATACGTAGTGAATGTTTATATTAAAGAAATTACACAGTAAAAGATATATTGCTCTGGATTCGCCTCACAGACCTCCCCCTTGCTCCAAATACACTGATCCCATGGTTCTTGCCAGTTCTGCAAGCCCTCTTTCATGGTGTCTTGGTGAGACGTGATGAAAAATACATTGTATGCTGCTGTTGAGCGCCATCCAATGGAAAGGCAGGCTCATAACAGCGCGATTGTGTGTCCTCATCCACCTTATTTATCAAATCTGTCTCCATGAGACTTCTGGCTTTTTCTCTAGAGTCAAAATGGCCGTGGAAGGTAAATGCTTTGAATCGATTCAGCACATCGAGGCACCCAGGACAGCACAACTGAAGACACCCTCGAAAGAGGACTTCCGGAGCTGCTTCAGAAAGCTGCAAGAATGATGGGAGAAATGCTCTTGAAGTGAGGGGGAGGTGTCTAGGGGATTGATGTCGGTGAGACTTTAATTATAATAAATTAAAAATTTGAACGAACTGTATTTTTTTTTTTTTGATCACACCACATATTCTGAAGTCAAGTCAGAATCAGCAAGATGACATTTAATATTTGCCACTTCAATCCTGGTTGAAAATTGCCACGTGTCTTGCTCCTTCTCTCCAGGAAATGTGGACCTTCCAGACAGTTGATGCCATCTCCCAGGAAAGCTGGGATCTTGGCAGACAATGCTGACATATTCTCAAAGACTGGCTGGTTGAGTTTGCTCGATTTTGCTTCCACTTTCAAAATGTCCTTGTTGCTGTGTTTGTTCATTTTCTCTTTTTCACTCGGGTTCCATCAATATGTTCCAGCAGCCCGTTGCTCTTTTCTTCTGCTCCATCAAGCAGATTTTCCTGCAGCTTCGGAGTTGTAGCTGGGCTTTGTTACTGGTGATGTGGTTGACCTAGGGTTAGGGGTTGTGCAATAAGGAAACCTCATAGGACCCAGAAATACATAGATCCTGGGCCAGGGAGTTGCTTCCTGCAAGGAGCCCGGACATCTGAGCCTCGGGGGCAGAAGCAGTGTCCTTGGAGTTCGAACGATAGTCCTGAGAGTTCATGGAGTGACCCTGAGCCTGGCCTGGCCCCAGCTCCAGCTTCGTCTATTTTTATTCCTGTCCAGACACCGATTTGGGCCTGGTCCTTCTGGGAAAGAATCAAGGCCAATGTGTCTTGAGCATAGCAGGTGGTAAGCGTCCTCTCCAGTGGGGACAGATGGATGGGAGCAGAGGGAGCTGGGGACCCAGAGGCCCAGTGTGAAAATTTTGGATTTCATTCCAAGTAAAATGGATTGAAGCAGGATAGTGACATGATCTGATTCAGATTTTTAAAAATATTAACCTTATCAATATCAGATGTTGCAAAGATGGGGAGCAAAGGTGGCCCTCCTAGGTGCTGGAGGGGTTGGAAGTCATACAAGCCAGTGTTAGAATTGGACCAGCACATATCCCACAGCTCAGCAAGTCTGCTCCTGTGTATGTGTCTCAGGGAAACGTGTGTGTGCAGGAATGTCCCTAATTGAGGCTGTCACAGTGTCCATAGCAACAGGATGGACAAGTGCATTGTGGTATATTCTTACAATGGAGTGAAAAAGAATAAACCACTGCTCTGTTCAAGAACATGCATGTAATCTTACATATGTAACCATGAGACCAAGCAGTAACACACAGAATATAAATGATGTGATGTGTTGTGTGCAGGGCATAAGAAGAGGTAAAATGAAGCAATGACACTGAAGAATGCACGTGTAGATGGTGAAATTATAAAGAGAAATAAGAAAAAATGTCTTTTGACAGATGAATGGAACAATGTCACATGATGTGAGTATTATTTAGTCCTGAAAAGGATATATTGCCATTTTTAACAGCATTTTTAACACCTAGAAGAACTTACACTAAGTTAAATAAGCTAGTCATATAGGGACAAGGACTGCAGGCTTTTACTTATGTGAGGTAACTAAAATAGTCAAACTCACGGAATCCAGAACAGAAGGGTGATTTCCAGAGGCTGGGGGTCTGGGAGGGAAAATGAAGGTGAAGAATTATTCTTCAAAGAGTGTAAAGTTTCTATTACACAAGATGAATAATCTCTAGAGATCTGCTGTACATGATAGACTCTATAGTTAATAAGGACTTGTGCACTCCAAAGTATGTGAAGAGGATACATCTCATGTTAAACGTTTGTTATGTTGTGAGTGTAATTTGTGTCTCTCTCTCAACAGTCCATATGTAAAAGCTTAGACCCCTTGGTGGCAGTATTGTGGGGTGCTGTGACCTGTTAAGGGGTGTGGCTTAGCGGGAGGCTCTTAGGTCATTGGGAGTATGCCCTCCCAGGGTATTGTGGGACCTTATTCTCCTCCTTGCTCTGCTCCAAATGGAGATGTGAATGTTTTTCTCCATGTTTTTCACATCCATGCCATGAGGTGCTGAAGTCAAGGTGTGGCCCACCCGGAGCTTGTACCACACTGTTTGGGCTTTGAACCTCCCAAAATTGTGTGCCAAATAAATCGTTTATCTTTAGTGTTAAAGCTGACCAACACAGTGTTCTTACAAAACAAAACTAAAGAACAACACCCAGACAAACAACAAGCTCCCACCCTCATGAAAGAACACAAAGAAATCTTTGGAGGTTATGTTTAGAGCCTTGATTCAAGTGGTGATATGGGTTTATTTATATCTCCATTAAGGCATACATTAAATAGGTGCAATTTTAATGTATCAGTTTTACCTCAATAAAACCAGAAGAGAAGGAAAAAGAAAAAGAAAAGTAAATATAAAACAGGATATAAAACAGGATGGTGGTTAGTGCTGAGGAGGAAGAGGGTTGTTGGTAGAGGAGGAGCACAGGGCAGAGAAAGAGGAGAGAAAGAGACTCAAGTACCCGCTGCCTCCAACTGGACACCACCTTCCTCGGTTTCCACCATCTCCCAACAGCCCATCAAATTGTGGCTCTATTAATGGATTGATTCATCAATGAGATTGTAGCCTCATGATCTAATCATCCCCCAAAGCCTCACTTCTGGACATTGCTATGTGGGACCAAACCTTCAACACACGAGACTCTGGGGGACACTGATCACACCACCAACTCCTGGTTTGGCAGAAAGGGGAGATGGGAAGTGCCTGGGTCCCTGATGACATCACTGATCTGCAGAAATAGCCTGGATTGGTTGAACATTCTGTTACTTGAAGCAATAAATAAATAAATACATAGTTTAAAGGCAAGGTTTGTTTGAGAAGTATTTGGGGGTGGGTGGGAACTCAATCCAGCCTCATCTCTGCAATTTGTCCCTCCAAACCCCAAGAAGTCACTCAGCTCCATAAGAGAACCGAAGGGCTTGCTGTGCCCATCTCAGAATGGGATGTTTACCTCTTTTAGAAACTGGGCCTTTTTAGACTGGCTTTTTTCCTGTATGCATTCAAGATTCCTCCATGTCTTTTCATGGCCAGGTAGCTTATTTCTTTTTAGTGCTGAATAATTTCCCATCACCTGTCTGTACTCTAGTGTCTTAGTCACTTTCTTTGTCTCTAAGACAGAATACCTGACATCCTCAACTTGAAGGAGGAGAAGTTTATTTTGGCTCAGTTTTTAGAGGTTTCATTCCACACTCAGCCAGCTCCAGGCAGAAGCAGCATGGTGGAGGGGTGTGGTGGAGGAAAGCTGCTTGCCTTATGGTGTCCAGGAAGCAGAGTAAAGGGAGGAGCCAGGAAGGGAGATAAACACTTGAGGATCACGCCCCCCGTGACCCTGCTCTTCTGACCAAACCCTTCCTCCTAACAGCAAGTCAGCTATGAGCCCCTGTGATCCAATCACCTTCCAAACCCGTGAGGCCTTGGGTCCATTTTGGTATAAACCATAGCACATAGTTTATCCGTTTACCTGCTGAATGACATCTTGCCTGCTTCCAAGTTTCAGGGATTATAAATAAAGCTGATACGAACACCGATGTGTACATAGTGTTTGTGCAGCTCTACGTTTTTAACTCATTTGGATAAACATCAAGAAGCACAACTGCTGGATTGTGCATATGGTAAAAGTATGTTCAGTCTTGAAAGAAAGCGCCAAACTGTCTTCCAAGTGGTCTTGCCATTGCTCTGTTTATAGTAGAGCTTTTTCCTGGCTGGCTGCTCCTCCAAACTCTCATCTTCTTCCCATGACCAGTTTCAAAGTTGCTTCCATATTTTCAGATACCGTAAAAGCAATGCTTCACTCCTGGCACCAGTTTTTCTGTCTTAGTCTGTTTTGTGTTACTATAATAAAATACCTGATGATAGGCAAGGATTAAAGAAGAAAGGTTTATTTTGCTCCTGATTCTTGTGGCTGGAAAGTTCATGGTACTGATACTGACAGGGCCCATGGCCATGTTACAAGATGTCATTGGATATCACATGATGAAACAGGACATGAGGCCAGGGAGAGGCCAGACTTGCTCTTTAAAACAACTTGATGTTGTGGGAACTAACCTGTTCTTGGGAGACCTAACACACTCCGCAAGACCAGCACAAATCCTTTTTAAAGGCTTTAATATCTTTCACAGCTGATCCCAGCTTGATAACTTTGGGGATTAAGCCTCAGTATGTGTTTTGGTGGGGACAAACTGTATTTACATAGTAGTCATGATGTATAATTATTTTTACATGTTGTTAGATTTGGTGTGCTAATGTTTGGTGAGGATCTTTGAATCTGTATTTATGAGAGAGATTGGCCTATAGTTTTCCTTTCTTGCAGTGTCTTTTTTTTTGGTACTGGAGATCAAACTCAGGACCTTGCACTTGTGAGGTGGTGGAACCCGGAACCACTGAGCTAAATCCCCAGCCCCTCTTGCAGTGTTTTTTGCTTTGGTATTAGGGAAGTTGTTGGTCTCATAAAACAATTCAGAAAGTATCTCTTTGCTTCTATTTTCTGGAAGAGATTGCAGAGAACTGGCATAATTTCTTCCTTAAATGTTTGTGAAACCATCTGGGGCTAGTGCTTTCTGTTTTAGAACATGATTAATTATTGATTCAATTTCTTTAATAGAGACAAATCCAGATGATCTGTTTCTCCTTCTGTGAGTTTGGTAGACTGTGTCTTTCAGGGAATCAATCCATTTCATCTTAGATTAGCGTATCTGTGTGCATAAAGTTCTTTTGTTATCAGTTTAGTGCCCATGGTAGCAGTACTTTGCCTCTCCTTTTTTTTTTTTTTTTTTGGTACTGGGGATCGAACTCGGGCCCTTTCATTTGCAAGGTAGGCGGCGGAACTGCTGAGCTAAATCCCCAGCTCTCCTTCATTTTTTATCTGAGTACTTTGTGTCTGTTCTCACTTTTTACCTGGTGAGAGGGCTATTGGTTTTATTGATCATTTCAAACAACCAACTTGTGGGTTTATTGATTTTCTGTTTTCAGTATTATTGATTTCTGCTCTGATTTTTATTATTTCTTTTCTTCTGGTGGGTTAATTTGTTCTCCTTTCCATATTTTGCCATGGCAAGCTTAGATGCTTCACTT